GAAACAACGTGTGATGAACTGACCTTAACCCTCAATCCCTGTCCCCTTGTGCTACTGAGGGAGGGGAGGAGGTTGAAGCCGGGAGTGAATTTGAGCCCGGGAAGATGGGGGGGAGGTGTTTTAAGGTTTGGTTTTATTTCTCATTCCTCTACTCTGTTTTCCCTGGTAATAAATTAGGTGAATTTCCTCTCTAAGTTCAGTCTGCTTTGCTCGTGATGATAATTAGAGAGTGATCTCCCCCTGTCCTTACCTCGACCCACAAACTTTTTGTTACACCTTTTCTCCCCTGCCTAGTGAAGGTGGGGGAGTGACAGAGTGGCTCTGGTGGGCATCTGGCCTCCAGCCAGGGTCAACCCACCACAGCAACACATCCCAATGTTCGCTTGGTCTCACAGCGAAGAATCCTCCACTCCTGCTCTCTACAGCCAGACAATTTTCCCCTGAAGCAATTTCTGCTCATTGCCTCATCACCTGTCTATCCAGCATCCCTGTGATCACATCTTCTCTATAACTACTCCTTTAAGGTACTGGAAGATCATGATTAGATCCACCCGAGCCACACTGAAAAAAACCAATCCCTTCATCCTTTCTTCATACATCGAGTTCTTTGATCCTCTAATCATCTTGGTGGAGATGTCCCTTCTCAGGACTGTTGCCAGTTTTTCAATCTCTCTCGTTAACTGAGGGCACCAGAATTGGTCATGTAACCAAATGGATAATCATGGTGATGGGAAGGGAACATTCTGAGCAGAATGGTATGGGTTGGGTGATTGTGTCTCGTTTGATGTTGCTAACCAATTTGTGGCTGCCAATTATGTCCATTGTATAGCCCCAATGTGACATGGATGATAGAATAGATAAGCACGTAGCTGGCAGTGGGTACAAGTAATATTTCATTTTCTGTCAAAATCATGTCCTTTGACTGAACTTCGTTCATTATAATCTAATTATAATACCAAAACACACCTCAAATCTAAAAGCTACCCACCTTCGAGGTATGACCACCCCTCACTAGGCGTGCTCTTTGAATTTCTCTAAGCATACAGCTTTAAATAAAAGCGAGAAAACTTTTTGCCAATCACAATAAGGTAACTACGTGATGTAAATGTAATTTTGTAATGATTTTATAACCTAAGGGTATAAATGTATAAGGGGTTAAAGGCTAGGTGTGCATGTTAGGAGGAGAGATCCCTCATGCACCCAGCACTGAATAAACCAATATTGCCTTTCTAAACTGTCAGACTTCAGCCTACATTGCTCTTGGCATTTTCTGTCTCATGTCCAGGACCTCACATTTGCTGTTGTTAAATTTCATGCAAGTTGCATAAGTCTCTCTGAACAGTGGCTCTTCTTTGTGGTTTATTTGCTGTCCTCCAAATTTTGTTATCGCCCACAAACTTGGAGAAGATGCATCCAATCCTGTCACCCAGATTGTTTATAGAGTTACTGAGTCATATCAGATCCAATATTGACCTTGAGAAACTCAACTCATGACCAGCTGCTAAGTTCAACTTTAAGCCATTAACCATCACCCTTTCAGCCTGGCAGTTCAGTCAGTTTTGCACCCATCTCGTGGTCCAATGATCCAGACCATATCTTATCAACAAGGATGTTCTGGGAAATTGTGTCAATATCTTGCTAGAATCAGGTAGATGATACGATGCCCAGAAGTCTCCCCTCATTAACTATGCAAGTTGTTCCATCATGGAAGCCGGTCAGGTTGGTCAAGTGTGATTTATCCTTAGTAAATCCATGCTGTCTTTTCTTAATCGCTTTCTTATCCTTTGTGTCCCTTGAAATAGCTTCCACAAGGACTTGTTCTACAATTTTCCTAGGGGCTAAGTTAATGCTGACCAGCCTGTGTTTTCCAGACCTTCCACTATTTTTTTCTGTGGATGGGTGTAGGATTTGCCCTTTTCCAGTCATTCAGTACCTCTGATCTCTACAACCTTTCAAAGACAAGAGAGTGGCTTTGCAAGAATGCCAGCCAACAACTCTCAGTATCTTTGGATACATCCCATCAGGTCTTCTCCATTTACGATGGAAAATAGAGACAATTTTTTAAGTAATGCTAATATTAAAAGACATTTTCTAACAAGGAGTTGAGTCTTTTGGATGGTCACAAACTGAATTTGAACAAGGTATCATGAATACATGGAGACTGAATAGCAAGAAAATGGCATATGATTTGAAGACACTGTTTTCCACTAAGGCTTTGGAAACTGAATATGCAGGGTATGAAAAGTGTCATTCTGTACCTGAAAAAAGGGCTTATGAGTAAAATTGCACAGCATTTATCTATCTAATAACAGCCACTATATCATAAAAGCAAAAATCAAGGAGATGTTACATCTACTTATAAATTACATAAATTTTCAAGACAAGCATTCAGAGGCAGCTAAAATTCTTGCTCACAAGACTTGCCAACACTACTGTAGAAATAGGAATGACCTGGCTATTTCCCTCTCCAGAGTAAATCACAGCATCTTGCCACTGACAAATGAAGATTTCAAATAATTGTACTTTTGGTTTTTAAGGCATTTCATATGACATGCCTATCCACAGATCAACAATGGTGTGATGTGACTATCAGCTTGGCTTTACAAAAAGAGAACTACAAATAACAGAATATTGAAGCAAAGGAAATTTTTTTGGTTTTAAATATTGTGAAGTTTTTTGCTTTGGTTGTTAAGCCTGGGTTTTATTTGGAGTGAGATCTCAAAGGAAATCTTATTTTCCATAGGGAAAGTCAGGTAGTTTAAAATATTTTAAACACACTACTTGATCTATCAGAAAAATGTATCTTTTTTTTTTTCCATTACGAGAAGTAATGGATTACACATTTCCTACCTGCTTTCCTGTCTGCGGTAATCTTGCTGCTGTTCTATTCTAATCATCGGCTTCACCATTCCTCGTTCGGCTGTGCTGGATGCTGATGATGTCCTGTCACCATCAAGCCTGCTGGTGCTCTAATTCAAAACAGTGGGACAGGTGCTTAGCATGCAAACATTGGATTAGCCAGTATTTGTGCTTGGCACTATCAAAATGAAGTGTCAATTTGAGGCTTGAAAAGAGGTGGGGAAACAGAAGAGTACAGCACAGAATCCAGCAGCTCAGCAGGTGTTTTCACCACAACAAAGCATGGAAGAGCACACTTGCAATTCAAAAGATAGCAACGGCCAGCTAGGAACAGCTATTTGTTAATGCATTGCAATTAATGCATATAATGAAAATTGCAAAAGTCTTTATTTAAAAGTTGTATTGTTATCAATACAAAGTAAGAATGAATTGTTAATGAAAACTTTAGCTAAGAGACAAAAGTTAAACATATTAACAGATTTAAACAGGCTATATTCCCCTGCCCTGCTTCTGCAATAGCTCCAAGTGCTTACGTTATTGATCCATGCCATTATTTATCCTGTTCTTAAGGAAAGCCTCATCTGCTAGACAGTACATAATTTTACAAGACAAGAAGTGGCATTTCAAACTCTGCAATTTTTTAATGTACAATTTCATTTATTTTCTTCCAGTATCACAAGCTCCTTAATAGGAAGCTTTTAATTTATTATTTCCAATTACATCAAACCTTATCAGGAAGGGGAAAAACATGCTGGTTTAAGCAGCAAAATATGTAGCAATTATTTTTTCAGTATAAACAGTTGAAAACAAAACATCAGTAAAATATGAAGTGTTTCCACATTTCCTAAGAAATTTCTAGGACTAAATAATTTGCTTTGACACAAGAAAACCTAACAAAAAGTGCATCTCAAAACAACTGACTCATGGATTGGCATGTCAGTATTGAAAAAAATTTGTTCAAACTCTTTTCATCATCAGGTCTCAGAGAACTCATTAGTTATTGTTACCCCTTTTCCAAACAGAAAAGCAAACTCATAAGAGCAACCGTTAAAAAACAAGTGATTCACTGGCGATTTAACAAGATGCCATGTACATTCTCAAACAGTACAACTAAAAAGAATAAAGTTTTTCCAATCTTCCCTAGGTCCACTAAAAGTATTTTTCTAATGAGTCTGAAAAGAATATGAGATGTGCTATATATTAATGTCAGAAACTCAAATTATGAGCAATTTAGCAATTCTGAGGCATTTTAAGAGTTTACAAAGTTTCTTCTTTTTTTTGTTTCCTTCCAAAATGTCACTAAATAAATTCTTATCAGAGGTAAAGAATGCATCCAAGATAAAAGAAAGCATTGTCACAAAAAAAGCTATAAAGAAAGGAGAAAAACTCTCAAGACTAATAAATATATTCAAAAGCTATCAGAGGATTATTAATACCTACACTGCCACACCAGTATCACTAATTTTCTTTACAAGTATTTCAAATCAATAATAGTAGTAATAAAACACAAAGAAAAATGCATTTCTGGGACGACTACTACATTTCATACTGCTGAAATAATTCATTCTCTCATTTCATCTGAGGCATGTCATCATAGCATTAAGAAAGGCATTAACCATCATGTCATTTTACTCTATATTGTCATTTTACTGCTCTTGGAAAATGCAACTCTGGCACAGAATTTATTAACAGAAAGATAGTGCAGAAAGAAAGCAAGAAAAGATTATCACCTCATAAAATGTTTATAACTGATTGCAGAGACAGTTTGTTTAATCAATGTGTGTATAGAAGCTCTACTGAAGTCAAAAGTCACATCCATTAAATTTTAAAAGCCTAGTTAAATTAAAATTGAACAGCCTTTCACGTTTTATATAAAACATTTATTTACCTGATCGCAGATGACAGTAGTCATATGCTACATATATGAGATAAAGATATATAATTTCTAATATGAATCTCTACCTGCATATAATCTGCCTCCAATAGGTCAGGTTGGGGAGAAACTATTCCACACTTAAGGAATTTCCCTTTCTAAAAAAAAGTTGTTATTTTTGGCACAGAATGCACACCACATGTTAATACACACAATCAAAACAGTTTTGTGGGGGGAAAAAAAATATTTAAAAAATAATGCACATGGTAGCCAAGCCCACCCACAACAGGAAAGGGCTGGAGAGAATGATGAATTGGCCACACTTTACCAAATACTATTGATGTTGTAATTTTGACCTTACACGTGATCTTTTATTATTTATCGTTAATTTAGTCATAGTAAGATACCTTGCTTGCTGGTAATGCTGTTCCACTGTGAACATCTCCCTCCAGATCAAATGTGGTTTCCTGAACAGCTCTAAAAGCAAGATAACATTTCAAGTACTTTTGAGAAATGATATTGTTAAACATTTAAACAAGCAAGGAACAGAGCAGCTAAAATTAGTCAATTAAAATTCATGAATCCAGTTAATATTTAATTTTTAAAACATTGTATCAACTCTTTATATAAAACTACTACAAATATTTATACAGATAATTTCCTTTGGAAAAACATATTCTTAGTTACATTTTTTCCCAGTAAAGTGAGAAAATATAAACACGCATAAACATTACTGTGTCCACTTCTGGGCTCCCCAGTTCAAGACAGACAGGGAGCTACTGCAGAGAGCCCAGCAGAAGGCTACAAAGATGATTAAGGGAATTGAGCATCTCTCTATGAGAAAAGGCTGAGAGAGCTGGGTCTGTTTAGCCTGGAAAAGAGAAGGCTGAGAGGGGATCTCATCAACGTTTATAAATATCTAAAGGTCGGGTGTCAAGAGGATGGGTCCAGACTCTTTTCAGCGGTGCCCAGTGACAGGGCAAGGGGCAGCGGGGACAAACTGGAACACAGGGAGTTCCATCTGAACATGAGGAAAAACTTCTTCGCTCTGAGGGTGACAGAGCACTGGGACAGGCTGCCCAGAGAGGTTGTGGAGTCTCCTTCTCTGGAGATACTCAAAACCCGCCTGGACGCCATCTTGTGCAACCTGATCTAGGTGATCCTGCTTTAGCAAAGGGGTTGGACTAGATGATCTCCAGAGGTCCCTTCCAACCCCTACCAGTCTGTGATTCTGTGATACATATAAAACCACGTAAAAATATGTTCAAGGTATTGTATTTCACTGTAGTAGTCTTGCTACAATTTTTTTGCTCAGCTCTTGATTACTAAATGTACAACAATCTTGATAATGCATATCATTCATAAATCATAGTAATGCATTTTATTATCTACTTATTCTGAAGATTTAAAAAATATTTGATCTTTCAATTTGCAATAGGCCTTTGCCAGAGATTTTGCTGTTCAGGTAAAGCTCTACAGTAGAACAAGTGCTTTACAGTTGACTATGTAAACCTGTGAGAGCATTTGTTTATTGATCTGCAGGCTAGATGCAGAATGAACTCAAGATTGAAGCAGAAATATTACATGACAGCTAAATGGCTCAAGGTCTTCCTGCAGACAGGTCCAACAACAAGCACACAGTATACTTCCACATTAAAATAAAGTGAAGAAAATAGTAATAGTTAAAGTATACATCAATATTAACTCAGGAGATTAGGCTGAAAAGCCTCATTTCCTAGGTATCTCTCTCTCATTCATCTCCAAGACAATTTGTTTCTTTTCTAAACCATGGTATACTACAATAGTAGCCTCATTTGGACCCAGAAAGGACAGAAGATACGATTTTTTTTTTCATGCTATACAGTCTGAATTTAAGATTGTTTCTCCCAAATATTTCTATAGCCACCGAACAGAATACCTGAATACGAGTCACTAAACCTATAATCAGTATTTTAATTATGCACCTATCAAAAAATAAGAACATACAGAGAAATAACAGGATGGACTTCTGGACTGTTAGGCCTTGCAACACAGAAATTAGAAGACAAGTAATCACACTGTAAAAAGTGGTTCCTATATTGAGACATTTAGTTCCCTATCTTGACAGTCTCATTTCCTACCTACCCTACTTAATTTCCAAATCCCCCTAAAAGTTACTACCTGAGAAAAAACAAAACACATCCTCTCTGAAAACATTCAGCAAATTTTTTCTTTTCCTGGAGGCTGAACTTTGAAACACATTAAAATAAGGTGTTCCATTGTTTTTAACACAGAAATAAGCATCAGCAAAACTTGTCTGAATACTTCATAATAAAGAAGACACTTGCTAATCCTAAAAAAAATCACAAGGTGGAGCTCAAGTATTAAAATAGTTATTATATATTTAACACTTAAAAGCAGCTACTCAGAAGTCATAGAAAGTCATACTCTAGGTCGCTTATAATGCTCACATTCTCTATTTTTTTCCAAGGCTCCTCCCCTCCACCTCAGTAGGAACAACATAAATTTTACTCACCCAGTTTTGTGTCTTGGACCTTTGACCATAAGACTTGCATCAATAGGTCTTTTAGCAATAATATGGTCCTGAGTGGGATCCACAAACTTAAACACATGAGATGACCCAAACTGAACCTTCATTCCACTTTGCAGCATAGTGGTCTCTGAAATACGCTGACCTTCCACATAGGTTTCGGCATCAATGCTTCTTGGGGTTACAGTAACAACTCCATCCATATTAGTGAGGTCACAATGATGAGGCTGAATTCCTGGACCAAATAACTGGAAATAGAATTAGTTAACATGGAATAAACTAAACTATACAGCAGCAGTAATTAACACAGAAAGATTGAGCTGCAGCTTACCCTATTTACAGACTAGTAACTTAACACAGATGAGCGGTACTAGAATCAGTTGAGTTTCACTTCAATTCCCCTTGTAACAGAGATAATAAAACACACATTTAACTAACATGTGCAGCAGAAATCCCTTAATGAAAAGTTTTTCACTTCTTTGGTCAGATGTTGTTCAGAACTGTTTTCTTCCACTTGCTGTTTTGATGTGAAATCTCACAATGCAGGTATTTACAAGTCAACTAACTGCAGACACGCACCCAGGGTGCTATAAGAGACTCCCTGGCATGAACTTCATGCAACTATGCTTGTTTTATACATTTAAGAAATCCTACCTCACTCAAAGGGGTTGAGACGAGGACTTGAAAACCATGAAACAGTTACGATACCACTGATACATACCATATGATCCAGTGATGAAAAAGAATACCTCATTTTAAATAATGAAACCCTTACTTTCCTCTTAAAGCAAAAGAGAGGAAATAAATCAGAGTGTTACGACCATTAACATGAAACTGCAGCAATACCTTCTAGCTTTGAAGGGTATTCACAGCATTATTTTACTAGTTTCCGCAATTACACATAACTGACCAAAGATCGGATCAGTTCTATCACCTGAGTCTGCTTTTTTCCCATACCTGAATGGAATTCTCATCAAATTTTTCAGTTCCAACTTCAGTGACACTTAATTGTAGACGATAGAGCTTTGGCTTATCTCTGGAGTCAGAACCATCTGTACAGAAAGTGACAAATATTAATTTCCAAGTTATTAAAGTTCAAATACTCAGGCAATATTTCTACATTATTGTAATTTAGTTCAGAATAGCAATGTTCACAAAAAAAAAACCAACTGAGTGACATTCTGTCAAGATTTGTTGGGAACTTAGCTGTTCATCGTCGTGTAAAAATATTGAAAGTAGACAGAGCCCACTCAGAGTGGCTGTTTTCCACAGGTATAAAGAACAAAGTAATCAAGAACTACTATTCTGAGCATACTTTGAAAAAGTTCCTCTGTTTCCTCAGTAGTTTAAGCAATACAATTTTTGTTAATCTCTAAGATTTTATATGGGTATACCAATATAGGTTTAAAAGATTTAGAAAATTAGATACCTGCAGATCTCTATAATAATAGTATTTATTGATCTTACTAAAAGTACAGACTACCAGCAATATCTACTGTCAGGTGGCCAACGTGCTGAACTGTTTCCTATTCATCTAATACTGAAATAGGGCAATATTAAAAGAGAATCTTACAAAAATGTTTACCTATGACAGCTTTAGTCCTGATATACAGGACTGTAGCACTTCTGGCCTTATCTTTATCATCCCACTGACCTATATTTTCATCTCACAGAAAATGAGGTCAAAAGATATAAAGTTCATCTTCCTCCTCCCCCCAGAAGAACATACTGTCCAAATAAAATAAAATTTTGCAAGATACATTGGCTGCAGCAGAGGATTTACCTGCTGCCTTCACAGGCTAACACAGATAGGTTTTGGCATACATATAAATCCTTCCTGTTTCCAGAAAATACTGTAACTTTAAATACTATCAGATACTAAACTAGTATTGTCACTTCTGACTCCTCTCAAATATCTCCTTCAAATGGAAGATGCAAAAAAAGGGAGGCTGCAAGACAAGGAATGGCTTACCTATGGACACGAACAATGATTTCAAGTCATCCCCAAAAAGCACTACAGAATATTATTAAAGTCATGGTACACACAGTGATACCGTCTTCAGTAGAATATTAGTCATCTTCAAATTTTAAATAAAGTCAATAGAACAGAACCTCCATAAATCTAACTGTAAACTCCCTGCATTACTACCAGGATCTGTTTATTAAAATCAGAATGCAAGCCATTTAACCATAAAACTTCACTCGGTCTATGAAGTCCTCTATCAATCCTTCAATGAACAGCCTTTCAAGGAATTAAAAGTCAACATCACAGAGAAAACTTAACGGTTAAGAACTATACACTGACTAAAAGCAGAAGACACAAAGAAAGGAAGGCAACAGTACAAAAAACCCAGAAAACACAAAGTGAATGAAGAGAGGAAGAAGCTGAGTTATTGATTATGAACGATACCAACAGTTTTACGTGATTTTGACATGGGGAGAAACATAATGGGTGCTCCTAGTAGTAAGATTCTCCTGGGAGTGTTGTGATGTTACTAGGAGAAAGACATCAGGCAGAGACAGTCCATAGACTAGTACTATAAATACCAAAGTTAAGTGCTGATATCCAGTAATATCCAGTTATTGAAGCTAGTTAGAATCACTATCGTAACAGTAGTTATGTCATCCATCATCAAAGTAGCGTTAAACATAAGAGCACTCAGTCCTCTAAATATTTTTCAGGTATAGGGATAAGTCTTTTATTAAATTCCAATATTTGAGTCTTAGGAGACATACATCTAATATCACTGTACACTAGCAAGCTAATGTTATTACAGTATCTTCAGTAATTTAAATTGTGTGCAGTTTTTAATACTTAACAATGCTAATCAGAAATTATATGGCTCTATCTTCAATGTCACCAAATGCAGACATATAACACGCTACTGAATACGTTTGGCTGCTTACCCCCAATTATCTGAACTGTTATTATGTCTCTCCACAACTTACACATCAAAACCTAGAGTTGCTCCTTCATTTATTTACTTATGAATCCAAACATCAAACATTTCCTCTTCCTACCCACCTCCCAGTTTGGTAAAACTGGCACCCAAAAGATACAAGACACAGTTTGGAGGCAAGGACCCTTATTCAAGATGCAAAAATACTGGAATTTCAAAAGTTAGTGGCATAAAAGTCAGAGCTAGTTGTCCAGGGCTTTTGTTCTTAATTTCTTACGGCACCTTCTCCCAAGTCCTTTATATAACAATTAGAAAATGAGCTTTATGGACTAGTGATTTCACCTCCATGCTAAATATAATCCCCCCCCCCCATGTACTTTTTCATTTTGGACATCTTAAAAAAACCAAACAAACAAAACCCCAAACAACAAAAAAAACAAAACCAAAAAAACTACACCACACACACTCCCTGAAAAAACCCAAACACACTTAAAATATTCCTACTTCTGAAATATTCTGTAAAATACATGACAAAATACTATGTTTTTCAAGTGTTTCAGATAACTTCTGGATCTCATTCTTGAGTTCAGCACTTGTGAATAATCAAATCAATGCTAAGTTCCTGCTAACGTTTACCTCATACCACTGTATAATCTCAATATAGATGCATGTCATGTAAAACACGCTTTCACGTAAAAAATATATTTTAGTATCACAATATTTCTGCCGAGGCAAATTAAGACTGTTTTGTTTCACTTTAAAACCACAGCACTAGATAAAAACATTTTTTTCGTCCCAGGAAAATGAGAAAAATTCAAGGAGTTACTGTAAGTTATTTGGAGCACATATGTAATCACCCATCAGTAAAAGCCAATTTTTACTGTAAAAGTTATCTTAATCTTGAAGAAAATAACTACAAATTCTAAAGAGGATGAAAAGCCTTTTTGTTCTAGGGGAGGGATGCAGGAGGGAAGGAAGGTTGCATTACACCACAGTGCAAAGTCTTGTATTTCCTGTTTTTCAACAGTTGGAAGCTCACCAAAGCGTTGTTTGGAATGCATTCCTCAACTCAGTGCAGCAGGATATAGATTCTGCCATACCTATGGCAAAGTCCCTGCTCCCCAAACCATGAAAGTCCAAGAAGGCTGTTCTTGGCCTCTAAGGACATAATTTTAAAGACTTCCGATGGTTCAGAAAAGTGATACATACAACTAAGCCATACAACTTAAGGTTCAGAATTTGTGAGAGGGGAAAAGGGAATAATGTATCTGGGGTTTTTATCTGATATAACAATAATCTTCTTTTAATTCAGAAATTTGAAAAGTCAAAGTTCTCAGAAAGGTGGGCATTAATAAACAGCAAAGAAGCAGCAGCAAGAGGCATAAGGAAAATTTATGAATTCTGTACAAACTTGTTCATTTTATATGCATGCACCAGTAAACATGTGGCATGGAAGAAAGATGGCCTGTATTCTATCTATGGCACCCATGATTGAATAGTATTAGGAAAGCTAAATAGGTGCAGAAAACATCCAGGTTTTTTTGGTTTTTTTAAACTTAGAAAATGGAATTGGAACATGCCTTCCAGACGTGCCTCCAAGACACAAACTGAAGAAGCAAAAACTATGATTCAAGAGACCAAGTTAGCCACTATTGCATACACTAAATTTAATTATCTACCCGACAAAGCTTTTCCCAGTGACATCATATGAGGGTTCAAATAAACTTGGTACAGTCTGCATGTGAAATAAGTTTCACCAGTTATTTTCCTCCATGGGAGAAGTACCAAGATACATATACATCTGCATATACTGCCTATTACAGACTGAAAACTTGTATTTCAAGAGGTAGCCCTCAATTGAAAAGCAGACCTTGTCACCAAAAACCACGCAGGAAACAGTGATTTAGAAAAAAAGGGTTTTTCAAAAACATTAAAGCATGTAAATGTACAGTAAAAAACACTGTAAAACACAGTGCAGAGTAAAAAGATGCACAGTATATTACTATTCACCTATAGTCACTAGTGAAATTGTTTATGTAAGACCTGTGAAAACTCCGGCTTTCTCTAACTACCCATGCTAAGGATGCAATGCAAATAGATTTCTTAACTGGGTTTATGCAGTTATGGGTCAACAACCACACTTCAAATAGCAATGTCATGAAAAAAACTGTAGTGAACAGAAGTGAACAGTCACTGTAACCACATCAACTCAGTGATTCATAATACAAATGTACAATTTTGATCAAAAGCAAAAAGATAAGACGGGCCTCCCTTCATGGATGTATATTTTAAATGCATTACTTCACCACCAAAAGATGAACCCTACATCACTTTGGAGATGATATTTTCAATTGATTTTGCTAATCCAGTGCTTGAAACAATGCTGGGAAATAGTATCAACTTGAAACCAGACTAAACCAAATTATTAAGATCAGATCACAGACAACAAGTAAGCCCAAAAGCTGAACAAAACTACACACACAAGGGACTGCACCTATTGACTTAAAAAGTAGTTAAATCCACATATGAAAAGCAGCAGATTTCCTGCACAAGTTACTGTCAAAACTCTTAGTAGTCAGGAAGAAGTTTAAGAGATTGGTTGGGCAGATTTGAAATACGTCCAATTCAGGAGATAATTCTACTATTAAATTTCAGACAAGATGTGCACTTCCAGCAGAAAGAGCCAATAATAAACATTTTTGGTAAAGGAAGATTCAGTGAGGAATGTGACAGACAACAAAGCTCCTTCAAACTAATGTGTAAAAGTGTTACCACACACCATACTGCAGTTCTGTTCTCAGATAGAAGGCTGGCCACAGAAACTGCCCTGGCCAAGGCTTTTAAGCTTCTCCAACCTCCTGTAATTCTTCTTTCCAAGTTGTTATACCTGCCTGTTCTCAGCATCTCCCATTGCTGTCAATTCTACAGTTCAGAGTGGTGTTACTGTGATGAGGCAGGGAGAAAAGCCTTATGGTTATGCCTCCCCGTCCCTTTTTTTTTTTTTTTTAAACATGCTTTATAATTTTTATTTCTGGCTTGCAGGATAAATCTCAGAGGCTCACATCCTAAAAGATGCCTTTTTGTCATTGTTCTCAGCCTTTAAATATTATGATTGAACAACTGAAGTTAGTAACATTCCAGAAATCATCGGCAGCCATATTCACAGACAACACAGACAGTATCAGCTACTCGAAGTGTTGCCATATCTCACTTTAGTATATTTCTATTACTATCAGATTCATCTCAGTTTATTGGCTCATTTACATGACTTGGAAGACAGAGACAATTCCTGACTGCCCCATTTACAGCCACAAGCTACTGAAGCGCATCCTCTATCATACTGTACAGAATCTGATCTTCAGTCTACAAAACATACAACCAGCAATGTCAGCAGCTGTGGAGAAGTGGCAAAATGGGACATACTGCCAGTAGCAAACTTACTGAATTTGTGCAATTGCACAGGGCATGAAACTGAAGTCTGCCAGGTTCTTCTGCAAGAACATAAACAGTCCGTGTTTTGACAGAAGGATGCTTTTGTCTACAGCAGTTACCTTTATAACAAACAGAAGTATCCTGAAATGCATTGTTCCAAAGAGACTTGGACTCTAGAGTACTAAGAGCTCTTTTTCACATTCTGAGATAAAGATTTAAGAAATTGTAATTTTTTTTTCTAGTAAGATACAACCAGATTTCAAGCTTTCTACTCAATGGTCAGATGTTCCTGCAGAGCTTGTCTATGCTTATTAGTTCAGCACACTCTATGGAACTTTGCTGCTCTCTGAACAATGATGTTAATGAAATCAAAGTCTGAATTCATCAGAAAGTTGAGCACTGGAGGCATAAGTTTGACAATTGTTCTTTAAACCACAGTATTGCACTCCACAGCCATGAAAGGGTGAGCAACACTGACGGACATATAGTACTTTTATAGCAGTCTAGAAAATAAAATGAGGAAACAGATGCTAAAAAACCAAGAAAACATATTTTGGTAGTTGTTTCACAACAAAGAAGAAAGTGGCTTGGTATTCTTGTCTATTTGGCCAAACCAGGACTATTTGCACGTTACTCTAAACTCTAAGGAGAATCAAAGATCCATAATGATTTGTAAGCTAGGTTACAAATTTCAAATGCTGCAAATAAAACTGAACAAGACTCTACTGTCTAATGTGGCTAAATCTCTTTGATATACGCTGTTAGACAACACCACAAACCGGGCAGTAGAAATACCAAAGGAACGCCACACAGCAGAATGTTAGGTCACTTTATCAGTGGTCCAAACACTGTTTCACACAAAAATCATCACAGATTTCATCTACTGCATCAACGAGGTCAAACATTGATAAGCACAATTAAGTTCCATGCCATTTACCCAATTCATTTTAAACTATGAATTCTGCAAGCAGATGGATCAAAGAATGTTTTTCTTTCTACCACAATACTGCTCATAAACCATCCTATGAAATTTAGTTGTTAACCTTAGCTGGAAGGTTGAATTCTTTGGATGATAGCACATTCATTATCTATTTGATGTTTGTTCACAGAATAATTAAGTGGCAGCTGACAAGACAGATAATTACTTCACAGAAGCTGTCCTTTGGAAAAAAGTAAGATAAGCAAGATAGCCTTTCATTTGTCAAAAAGAAACAAAAAAAGAGGTACAGCCAGTGATGTTTTTAGTGACTAATGAAAGAACAGTATTAAATACAGGATTACCTTCGTAAGCGTGATAGTTGTAGTAGGCAAAGTGATTCCTTCTCCCTGGGGTTAGAAACACATGCAGAGGACCCAGGTGAAGGCAGCACCAGCAGGACAGATACCATACAGAACATGCGGAAGAGGGCAGGAAAAGAAAAGACAGGAAAGGGTGAAACTGTAGTCAGACAACTCAATTTATAAGAATGAAGTGTATTATACTCTTTCAACTTTAGAAACTGCATAGAATATAAAGACATCAGTACTACAAAGCTACTGAATGAAACAATCCCTATTGTTTAGAAAAGCGACAACAAGCTGTTAGGAGAAAAACATGAACAATAGGTCAGTCCCACAGGCAACCTGCAAAGGCTTAGTACACAGCCTGGCCACCTGTGGCAGTTCCGATTGCTTTTCCTCTCTCAGTTAATGGACATCTTGCTCCACTGCCCAAGCACAATGTTGTAATACTAAAGCAAGTAGGCTCCACAAAGAGTTCAGAGCACAAGAAAAGTACTATTAAAAGAACCCAAAATATTAATATGCAAATCAAACCTCAGCATATAGAACATTTTATAAAATACATTTAATATAGTCTATGTACTGCTAATTTCATCTGGCGCTTCCCCCACGCACACCCCCCGAAAAAGCCCCACACTATTCGATTATGAATTTACCGGTCAAAGTTTTCAGCACCAGTTTCCAACCTTGCCTCCAAAAAGGTAAACCACCAGACTTCAAATTGAAAATTTGTACCCAAGTACAAATAGTACCCAATCTTAATAGGAAAAAGAGCTGCAAATAACTAAAATCACCAAAACCCGAAATCTTAGAACACGAAGACAACAGAAATTGAGTAGCAGTTGTATGTGTTTTATCAGTTGTTGCGCTATAAACAAGCAAGCTCCCCTGGCTTTTCTTAGATCATAAAATTAACTGCAAATTACGATGCAGCCCAGAGAGTTGTCATGATGCCAAAATAAAACCTGGCCTTGCTAGTGACTTGAAAGTTCCATATAGGCTGAAAAATGTTTAGCAAGTAAGTTTGATTTAAAAATTCATGTTCTTGTCCTTCTAAAAATGTATTTTTCATGCCTGACACTATCAAATATATCTTACTAGGTATGCTACAGTATATTTCTGAATGTAAAACAAACCAGATTTAAGCAGTGCTTTTCTGGTTCCACCCCTAAATCAAAAGACAACGTGTTAAACTATTTTACTTATTATCAATTTCTAAACCCCAATATCCAAAGGAAGTTGAAGATGGAAGTATTTTTTTTGTTTTGTTTTTGAAACACTTAAAACTTCATCCTTGAAACCTCACTAATAGAGACGAAGCCTTAAGTCAATCATTTCTCCTCTTTTTTTACTCCAAACATTTGCTACTAAATTTTCGATATTATAGCAATATGCAGCTCTACCTCTAGATAGCTCCAATTCAGAATCTGACATCAGAAGAACAAATGATGTGGCGTTCACTTACACTGCCAACACACTTCCTTGTACTTCCAATCAAAGTACTATTTTTGGAAAACCTAAATGACTACGTAATAATATGATTTAGATTATTGAATAATCAGACTTCTTACCTGGGCTTAATTCTACCAGGTATGGTAGTTTCTCAGGAGGAAGGCAAGAGCCATAGCCAGACCCGTCAACTCTTTCCTTCCCCTTTAATGGCTTTCCATCAGGTATTTTCTTGGATTTCTTTGGGACATAATCAGGAGGTCGCCTTTTCAACTGAAAGACTAGTATTCCTAAAACACAGTATTATACATCCTATGAGTCTCATTATCAGCGAACAAGTACACATCCAACATCTATTAATTTTTAAGTGTTCCACAGGATTATTTTCAGCTATTAAGCTCCTGACACTTCTTTATGTAGTTATTTTTAAGTTAAAACTATTTAAAAGATTAATACCATACTTCTCCACAGTGGATAATTTAGAAACCTGAGGATAAAATTCTATCTAAAGATGTATTACTATAAACAGTGCTGAATGAAATAGTAAATAATTCTAAAAGTGCCTAGTATTAAAAATGCCTGAAAACAAAACACTTCAAAAATATATGTTCTGATTTCTTACTTTACAGGGAGTCCACACCATAGCTTACAACACCCAAGGCATAAAAATCTCCTAAGGCTTTTTAGACATACCTTTATCACTAGGCCACTCCCTGAATATCTGCAGTGGACACTCATCATCATCAAGAATAGTTTCTTTAGCACCTTTATCATCAGAGTGCTGAGCACCAGGAGGCAGCATGACCTAGAAAAGAACCATTATCAGTTTTCAGAGCTGTTAGTGGACAAGTAGAACAGAGGATTCAGGGACGTATCTTCTGATTTTTAATTTATTTTGGTTGTTTATCACAAGAGATAAAGCAAAAGAATTCAGTAACTTGAAATGCATTTTGCTTTCCAAGACTTTTTCTAACTCTCTCTCTTTCCCCTTGCCACAGTTAAATCACACTTCCCAGAACATCAGACGTATTTTGAAAGCAAAAGGAAAGCAAGTTACACTTAATGTAGACAAGACCATCTTCCAGTAAACTAATTTATTCCAATTTCTCAACAGCCAAAGAGAAACCAAAAGAAAAATTTATCTGTGGAGGTGATAGTTAAAAATAAAACTGAAGTTTCCTTTGTTAGCTCACACACTGGAATCAGTCTTTCATTGTGCTAATGTCATTCTGCTAATGCAATATGCAAGTATCTTTACCTTTATCTGGTCTACACAGAGACTAAGGAAACGATGTGACCATTTCACACAATTGCTTCACGCTGTCTAGCTTTAAGGAAGAACCAAAACTACATATACTTGGGGAATAGAACCACAGACTGTTCATACCTTTTACAGCTATATCCTTACAAGGTAGAGGAAGGGGGAAACCTTGATTCATGAGTTCTGATTCTAAAGGAGAAACCTGTGATTTCATGCACATTTGCATTACTGCTCCCCACAGCAATCAAGCATAAAAAAAAAAACAATGACAGGCAGAATTACAGTGCATAAGTACCTTCTAAGTTAAAGATAGATCTTTCAAAGCTTAATAAAAAATAAAATACATTTTCCTCATTTGTGATCCTAACAATGTTATTTAAATAATTTTAAACAAACTACTCAAAATTATTCCCATCTCTGAACTATGACCAAGTGACTCCTCCTGACCTAATGGACCTATGGGCTACTGCACCCTCCTCAGTGCAGCCCCTCAAGAGCCTTTCCACTCTTACTTGTCACCTCCGCTCCACACCCATTTCGGTGCTAACTCCGTTCTCACAGATCCACCTCAAAGGTCCTTTCATCTTCTTCCAAGCAGGAAACAAGTACATTTAAGATCAAAAGTATGTAATCGAGTCATTGACCTTTCCCTAAAACATTTTCTATGCAAAACCAGGCTAAACATAGGACTAATTCAATTATCTTTAATTAGATTTTCAAATAGACAAGATATTCTAAAACAAGGAAAACATTAAAATGTATACACCGAAGGGAAATAGAAACACATCTACATTCAAATCTTATCTTGCCAAACCACTCTATTTCACATCTCAGATTTTAAAATCAAGTATACCTATGGGATAATTTTGATTAGTTAATTAAAGTAACACTGTGTTTCAAGCCTTATTCAACAAGCAACAATTTTTAGATTCCAAAGCCCTCGAGACAGAGGGTAACTAACTAGTTACAACACAAGAGCTACATGCTACCGCATGTGTACCAGGGGCTGACCAGTAATGGAGCGGGGAGCAAACTAACTTGGATGAGCATCTGTACTTGGCATTGGGCTTAATGGCAGCAGAGGTAAACTAGACAAGTTGGAGAACAGGGGCCACAAAAGCACTAATCCCCTTGTCCTCCCAGCCAGTCAATGTTCCTCCTGTCTCCCAGGAAGCATGAGCCAGTAACTCAGACATACCTCACTTTAAAAAAAGTGCATGACCTAACCTGCAGAAAGACACAAAACACCACATCTGAGCTTATGCAGGCCAGGAGGCTTCTAATAGAGATGTTTTCTAAAATGGCTTCATCACAATGTTTTAGGTGAATGCTGCCTCAGTGTCACCCACAAAGCTGAAATTCCTACGTTTTAGAATAATGAAAAAACATGGAAACAAGTTTGTATTATGATTTGGTTTTGGCTCATAGGTAGAGATTTCCTTTCATTTTGAAAAAACAAAAACAAAAAAGCAGAAGATGCAGTTAAATACCCTTTCATGAATTTGAATCCATACAGACTGCTGAGATCAGGCACAGACATTTCCCCCATTTCTGCAACAGTATAGGAAATGGAGATGGGTAAAAATCCAGCTTAAGATCACAAGTCTTGGAAGCAGGTTGTCAGCTGACAACCTACGAACTGAAATAAATTCATAGCAGATATATACTCTGCTTCCTCATAAGTGATTTCATGAGCATATACAGATTATCATAAAATCATTTCAATCTACACTTATTCATTTAAAATGCAGTGAAATGTGCAGAAAATACAAGCTAAGAAATTTAAATGAAGTTCACAGCAACTTAGGACTTAACTTCCAAGGCATTTGCTGAGATAAACAAGAGCATAGTCAAATATTTAAGTCCCCTGCGGTAAGTAACAGCAACAGATAAAGTTATCAGACCTATCCTCAGCAAAAGTTTCAAACAAAAAACCCCATGCTGTAAGAGGACTTCCATATGCTCTTTTGTCATTTTAATGTTCTTAAATAAAAACTCCCATCTACTGTATTTTCAAACGTATCTGCTTATTCAA